ACCTCGCTCAACTTCAACATACTCAACACTTGAATTCACATCACACATAAAACCTTACATTATTCATATAACTTTCTATTAGCTTTTATAATTTTTTCACTTCCTAAATTTTCCCACTTTTTTCACATATCCGTTCAATTATTTTAATATAACACAAACCAAAATTCCTAACATCTATTATAAAACAACAATAAAACAAAACTATAAAAGAGATTCAAAAGGATTTTAAAAAACGACTGTAAATATGTTTGTATCAAATAATGTGTACTTCCTCCACGGCTAGACTATCTATTGTATTTATAGTATAATTAATAAAAAAAAAAAAAAAATTTTATGATCACCCCCTTAATTGTTTATCTCTGTTGAAAAAGAGCACCCTCTTAATTTTGAATTCATTGAAAACACCCCCTTACTTTATGAATTATCCTTGTCTCTTTTTAATTATATCTCTTGTTGTATATAGCATTTAAATTTCCCTATCAATCTTATAAACTAACCAATTTCTCCCGAAACACAAGTTCACTTTTTTAAAAATGAATACACTTAAAGTCTCAAAGTTTTCCATGACCAGATTTTCATTTGTTAATCTGCTATCATTTGTTCCATTTTCATTTCATTCTCTATTATTTCGCCTTTTAACAACATCTTCTCGAACTTTACGCCATTTCCACTTCATTACACTCCATTACTATTATTTCTTCTAATATATCCTTCTCGAACTCCACTAACTCTCCGTTTCTTCCTATATCACCTTCTCAAACTACATTATACTCCATTAGTATTATTTCCTCAAATATCACCTTCTCGAACTCCACTAACTCTCCATTTCTTCCTATTTCACCTTCTCGAACTTCATTATACTCCATTAGTATTATTTCCTCAAATATCACCTTCTCGAACTCCACTAACTCTCCATTTCTTCCTATTTCACCTTCTCGAACTTCATTACCTCCATTACTATTAATTCCTTAAAATTACCTTCTCGAACTTCATTAACTCCATTTATTTTTCTAACACCTTCTCGAACTTCGTCGACTTCGTCTTTACGATTATCTTTATTTGTTACTTATGTTAGTGTTCTTCCTTCTATTACCTTATCTCATGCTCTTATAATAATTTTCTGTTTGGTCTTTCAGCCTTTTATAACATTTTAAATATTTTTGAATGGTTTTATTTTCATTAAATTCATTACATATTGGTTGCTAAGAAAAAAATTTACAAACAGTTTCGTTTCCATGGTGATGTTGTTGGCTTTTTTTAATTAGCAAATTATAATAAATATTACCTTATAAATTCTGGGCCCATAACCTGTTGGATGGTTACATTTGAGGGATTGGGTTCTTTAGGTGATGAGGGGCTATTTAAAACACAACTGCTTCATTATAATTATATTTCAGATTGCTTGAACACTTTTACACCATTATACAATTATTATCTTTATATTTTTTTATAAAACTATTACATGTTTTTCTTGCCGTGTCTAGATGAGAAGTTACTGACATTTTCTTACGAGAATACAATAATCTGTTTTTTTAAACATTTAAATTAATTCCAATATTCGAAATCTAATCAAGTGTCAAGTGTTGCCTGCCATTACATTTAATATGCAAACTCCAACAGGCCTACGTTTCAAGACCTATTTACCTCCTTAGTGGATAAGAACCCGGCTTTAAGTGACGTACAAAAGTTACATTATCTTAAGAGTACAGTCAGCTGCGAGGCAGAAACATTATTAAAACCTGTTCAAGTCACGGAAAACAATTATAAAAAAGCATGGAATATTTTGAAGTCAAGGTATGGAAATAAAAGATTAATAAT